CTGCCTACTGCAGAGCAGCTTTGGCCACTGTCACTTGCCTGCAGGTTGCTGGAATGTGAGAACCTGGAATGGTCTGTGCCATCTCTGGGCAGCTTTCCACCCGAGAAGCTCACATACTGTTGGCTCCAGAAGCCCTTCTATCTCCAAAGCCACAGTGTTCTCTGGGAAAAAGTTTTTGGTGGGGATGATTCAATTTTTAGCTTTCACTATTTTGAAAATGAGAGGCAGAAAGAATTGTTACCTATACCAGGGAAACTAAAGTGCTGAGTGGTTTTAACAAAGTATTAGAGCATGCACTGCAAAAGCTCCGTCTGCACTCTGCTCCATTTCTCATCTAATCCCATGCATTGGGTAAGGATCGTGGACAAATAAGACGACATGGTTTTTAAAAAGAAATTGGAACTAATTTATTAGGTGTAGTCTTCAGAACACTGATCAGTTGTCTCGTATGAGACACTAAAGCTCCTAAAAATAGTTCCAATACTGCAGGGAAGTACAGTTTAGTTAAGCCAAATCTCCTTTGCATCAAAGTTTGCTTCCACTAGCTCTACCCCAGCTCCAGTTGCTCACCTGCCTCCCCAGCAAGGCACTCCCAGGCCCTGCACAAGGAGAGCAGTCACTCGCTGCACCGCCCCCTTCCTTGGGGGGTCTGTCCCATCCCAGCAGCAGGAGGGTTCCAAGTACCCAGCACCATCAGCAGGAGCACCCGACAGATCCCCAACTTCTGGAGCCATTCACAGCCCTCAGAGCAGACTGAGCAGAGAGTCATCTGTCAGCACCAAACAGGCCAAAGTGGGGTTCCCTCAGGAGCCCCACCCTGTCTCAGGCAGGGGGGAGAGTTGATCCAAATCCTCGCATTTAGGCTAGTTAGAACAGGGTAATCAAGAACAAAACTAGAACAGAGTCCAGTGTAAATAACAAATTTATTGTGGTCACTTCAGGTAGAAAAGTTCTACACCAAATCCACATGACCAGGTTGTTAAATAGAACGCTTCTGTTGCCAATACTTCTAACCCCGTTGCGCATTTACACTCCCCCCGCTACCCTTCCCTCCCCAGACATCAAGCAACTGCTAACGAAAAGCAGTATACAGCCACTTTGGGCTAGCGTTTCCAGCTCCACTCATGAGTGAAGATTCAGAGTTACATTCCAAATTAAGAGTTCAATATTTTAAACAAGTGTTCCTGAGTCCAATATATACACACACAACATTCAGAGATGGCCAATATCTACAACTCGTCCTTCTCCGCCGCCTCCTCTTCACCAGGGGGAGGGCCGGCACTGCCGTAGAGCTTGCTAACAATTGGCTGAACAACTTCCTCCAGCTCCTTCTTCTTCGCTTTGAAGTCTTCGATGTCTGCGTCTTGATGGCTTTCGAGCCACTCAATCTTTTCTTCTACTGCTTTCTCTATTGTTTCTTTGTCTTCAGAGGACAGTTTACCACCCAGCTTCTCTTTGTCCCCAATCTGATTCTTCAGGGAATAGGCATAGCTTTCTAGCTCATTCCGGGAGTCGATGCGTTCTTTCAGCTTCTTGTCTTCCTCTGCGAACTTCTCCGCATCATTAACCATCCTCTCGATCTCTTCTGGTGTCAGCCGATTCTGATCATTTGTAATTGTGATCTTGTTTTTGTTCCCAGTGCCCTTGTCTTCAGCTGTGACACGGAGGATTCCATTCACATCTATTTCAAAGGTAACTTCAATCTGGGGGACACCACGAGGGGCAGGAGGGATTCCAGTGAGATCAAAAGTTCCCAGAAGATGATTATCCTTGGTGAGGGGACGCTCACCTGAAAGACAATTAAATATGGTTTCTTTCTTTCACTAGCTGTGGCTTGTACTTTGTGAAACCACTAGCTACACATTTTAGAGCCAAGGTTTTAATTTCAACCTGACATCTGTTATCTACAGTCTCAACCTCATGCTCTGAAGAGCTCTTCACAATTGCAACCATGGAAAAAGACAGATTTGAAAAAAAAAAAAATTAAAGGAATAGCTTTTGATGCAGGTCAGGAATCCTGATCAGAGCAGCTTCAGAGAGCCTAGCACTGTCACTGAGCTCCTTTCCATAAGGAGATATTCATAAGCATCTGGAATTATCTACAGCCTTTGTGACAAGATAGTAGCAAGTATGAAAGTCCTATAGACAGATTCCAGCTGTCACGTGGGCCACCACAGGTGACACTTACCTTCATAGACCTTGATTGTCACAGTTGGCTGATTGTCAGAAGCCGTGGAGAAGATCTGAGACTTCTTTGTGGGAACAACAGTGTTTCTTGGGATCAGCTTAGTCATTACACCTCCGACGGTCTCAATGCCAAGTGTCAGAGGACAGACATCAAGCAACACCAAGTCACCTGTAACAGATCAAGGCCAACACTGACATGACTTCAACCTGAAAAACACAACAGCCCATCACTGCAAACAGGGTCCAGAAGCCTAAAGAGGCACCAAGCTTCTTAAGGATTGCAAAAGAACTTCTACTATGTTTGTCAATAGCCACTATCCACTCCTGAGAGTGGACACTCGCTTGCAGTGGCAGTGAAGGTGTCCTTACCTGTGTCTTGGTCCCCAGAGAGAACTCCAGCCTGGACAGCTGCACCGTAGGCTACAGCCTCATCTGGGTTAATACCACGAGAAGGCTCTTTCCCATTGAAGAACTCTTTCACTAGTTGCTGTATTTTGGGGATGCGAGTAGAGCCACCAACAAGAACAATCTCATCAATGTCAGACTTCTTTAGGTCAGAATCTTCCAGAACTTTCTGAACAGGCTTCATAGTGGAACGGAAGAGGTCCTAGGAAGACAAAAAAAACAACCCAGGACTGTAAGACTGTATTCCCACGTGCCTAGCATCCAAATTACACGGCCTCAGGGTACAAAGGACAACCATATAGACGAAGAACATAAATTCACTTATGACCAGCCTTGATGAGACTTCAGCTGTCATTAATGTGCACACAGCTCCAGCCATCCTGGCAGGAGCAGCTGCCTGCTTTTCAGTGCAAGCACCAAGTTATTTATACCCCAAAGTGCAATGTCACAGCATGAACTACTGCACGTTGACAAGTCTCCAATTAGAGCTGAGGTAGTGTGACTTTACCTCTCTAAACTTACCATGTTCAGCTCCTCAAACTTGGCTCGAGTAAGCGTCTCTGAGAAATCCTCTCCTTCAAAGAAGGATTCTATTTCAATTCTAGCCTGGTGCTGAGATGACAAGGCTCGCTTCGCCTTCTCCACTTCCCGTCTTAACTTCTGCACAGCTCTGTTATCCTTCCTGACATCTTTTCCAGTTTTCTTCTTGTAGAGTTTGATGAAGTGTTCCATAACACGTTGGTCAAAGTCTTCTCCACCCAGGTGAGTGTCACCATTAGTAGCCACAACTTCGAAGACTCCATTGTCAATTGTGAGGAGGGAGACATCAAAAGTTCCACCACCCAAGTCAAACACAAGGATGTTCTTCTCACCCTCTCTCTTGTCCAATCCATAAGCAATGGCAGCAGCTGTTCTGTACAGGGAACAGCCTGTTCAGAAAACCGTGACTGGGACTGTCACCCCCACCTCCCCCGCAGGCAGGACATGATAGGCTACTTACGGCTCATTGATGATTCTCATCACATTCAACCCAGCAATAGTACCAGCATCTTTTGTAGCCTGACGCTGAGCATCATTGAAGTAGGCTGGCACAGTAACTACAGCGTGGGTAACCTGAATATTTGGAGTAAGAGATACAATTTTGTTATAGAAATGTAAAAAAGCACTTAGCTTGTAAATAACCATGGCAATACTGGCAACAAGTAGCCCATTGTTCTTTTGAAGAGAGATAAAACCTGACCATCAGCCGAGCCCATTCCACTGGGCTGCCTAAGGGGACAGCAGCACTGAACAGAGTTTAGGATTACAAGGGTAGTCTCCACATTCAGCCCACCCATCTTTGGTTTTATAAAGCTGCTGCTTTAAACTCTTCCTGGTAGCACTCATGAACTTACTTTCTTCCCCAAGTAAGCCTCTGCAGTTTCCTTCATCTTTGTCAGGACCATAGCAGAAATTTCTTCAGGAGCAAATGTTTTTGTCTGTCCACCTCCAACATCAACCTGAATATGGGGCTTGGCTTTCTTCTCAACAACCTGGAAAGAAGAACATATACTGTCCTATTCAACAATTATTAGAATTATTTCCCCTTGCCCAAAGTCTTTACGTAACAAAACACGATTTCAATGCTGGGCAAGACAAGGAACTGTTGCCTATACACCAAAGCTACATCTCTACACCCTAACCCTCTCAGGGGGGCTACAGAACAGCCAGGTTGCTCAAAAGGGCACCACAATTCAGCATCTGCTTCTGTCCAGACATGCAGGCCCCCCTCCCACCCTCGGGGCGCACCTTGAACGGTAGGTACTTGATGTCCTGCTGCACAGAAGGGTCGTTCCAGGTGCGGCCGATGAGCCGCTTGGCATCAAACACGGTGTTCTCGGGGTTGGACGTAAGCTGGTTCTTGGCGGCGTCCCCGATCAAGCGCTCCCCCTCAGGCGTAAATGCCACGTAGGACGGCGTGATGCGGTTCCCCTGGTCGTTGGCGATGATTTCCACCCGGCCATTCTTGAAGACGCCCACACTGCGGGGTAGCGGAGCAGTCAGGCGGCGCTGAGGCCTGCACCACCACTCCCCTCCCCCCTCTTCCCAGG